CGATTATGGTCTGGTTCTGGACCGGTTTACCCGTATGGAGCAACTGGAAGCAAAGCTGCTCATAATTTAGCATTTTTTGGTAATTTTTTATGTAAAGATAAGCTTGGATTGGTATTTCTTTCAATAGTTAATATTTTGAATGACTTGTAAGTAATGTGTAAATTATGGGCAATACTGTGATTGTTGTTACCTGAATTTTATATTCATTGGCTGAGAGATGTTGGTTGCTTCACTCAAGAGACATGTTCTGTAAGAAAGGCTTCTCTCACATTTTGGGCAGAGAGTGTCTCAGAACTATATGAATGACTCATTGCTATATTTATGCTGAGTCATTTGAACAAATAACAGTTTTTACGCTTTGACACTTGCACTTCCAGTTGATTGGTGATTCGCTTGTGATGAGTTAAAGCTGACCAGAGCCAGCCAGGAGTCGAACCTAGAATCTTCTGATCCGTAGTCAGACGCGTTATCCATTAGCCACTGGCCCTCCCCATACTCATATTTTGTGAGCTGTTTCTGGACCTGATGTGCCACAAATGCAGCTCGGACAAACTTGGTCTTGGTTGTACATCTTATATTTTTATCCAAGTGTGAGCTTCAATTTGTAACTCCAGGTCCTTGAAATTAATAGTTCCCATGATGTTTTGATTTTATATTATTTGTAAACTATAGGTAATACCTCATACATTTTTGACTGGTGTTACCTTGTATTGAGTACATTTATCTGCTAAGGCGTTGATTCATTGGCGCCAAAAATAAATGCTGTGAAAAATCCTTGTCTCTACTTCTGAATGAGCGTTTCTCAGAAATAAGTGAATGGCTCATTCTTTACATTCATTCTAATTCATGTCGTCAGATGGGGTATTTGGTTTTTTTCCACTTTTAGTGCAATTGACTGTTGATTTGTCCAAGATTGGCTAAATATGGCCACAGCAGAATCAAACTCATAATCTTCTAATAGAAAGTCATGCATTATTCATTCCTCTGCTGGCCTTTTTGTCTGTATCAGTTACAATCTGGCTACAGACCCCGATGTACCTTTTTGTGCAACTTGTAGCAAATTAACCTGGGATTGCACATTTCCTGCTAATTTTTATCCGTATGAGCTTCGATTGGTAATTCTAAGCTGATATTAATGGTTATCTTGATATTTTTTTGAATGACATGCATGTAGTATTATAAATTATGGGAAATAGGCTACATTGTCAAAATTGTGACTGGTGTTGCCTGCCCAAGTAGATTTAGTAGTGGGCTGATGTTGCTTACTCAATGCAAAAAATACATTCTGGGACGAAAAACTTATATCACATCCTGGGCAGATAGTTTGACTGAGCTCTGTGAATGGCTTAGTATTACGCCCAGGCTTAATCATGTGGACAGATCCAAGATGGACATTTCTGTCACTTTTAGTTCAGTTGGTTGGTGATTTGAATCTAAAGAGACAGCCAGAATCAAACTTAAACCTTCTTTGGGTAGTTACCCATATTATTCATTGCGCTGCTGGTCTTTTCTTCCCAAATCGATTATGGTCTGGTTTCTGGACCCGGATTTTCTACCGTATGGGCAACTGGAAGCAAAGCTGCTCATAATTTAGCATTTTTTTTGGTAATTTTTTTAAGTAAAGATAAGCTTGATTGGTATTTCTTTCAATAGTTAACTTAATATTTCGAATGACTTGTAAGTAATGTGTAAATTATGGGCAATATTGTGATTGTTGTTACCGAATTTTATATTTTATTATTGAGAGATGTTGGTTACTTCACTCAAGAGACATGTTCTGTAAGAAAGGCTTCTCTCACATTTTGGGCAGAGAGTGTCTCAGAACTATATGAATGACTCATTGCTTTATATTTATGCTGAGTCATTTGAACAAATGGGCAGTTTTACGCTTTTGACACTTGCACTTCCAGTTGATTGATGATTCGGCGTGATGAGTTAAAATTGGATCAGCCAGCCAGGAGCTCTAACCTAGAATCTTCTGATCCGTAGTCAGACGCCAGTATCCAATGCGCCCACTGGCCCTCCCATACCATATTTTTTGTGAGCTTTTCTGGACCTGATGTGCCACAAATGCAGCTCGGAGCAAACTTGGTCTTGGTTGTACATCTTATATTTTTTATCCAAGTGTGAGCTTCAATTTGTAACCCAGGTCCTTGAAATTAATGGTTCCCATGATGTTTTGATTTTATATTATTTGTAAACTATATGGAGTAATACCTCACACATTTTGACTGGTGTTACCTTGTATTGAGTACATTTATCTGCTAAGATTGATCCATTGGTAGCCAAAATAAATGCTGTGAAAAAATCCTTGTCTCTACTTCTGGACGAAGCGTTTCTCAGAAATAAGTGAATGGCTCATTCTACATTCATTCTAATTCATGTCGCCAGATGGGGTATTTGGTTTTTCCACTTTTAGTGCAATTGACTGTTGATTTGTCCAAGATTGGCTAAATATGGCCAGACAGCCAGAATCAAACTCATAATCTTCTAATAGAAAGTCACATGCATTATTCATTCCTCTGCTGGCCTTTTTGTCTGTATCCAGTTACAATCTGGCTCCACAGACCCTGATGTACCTCTTGTGCAACTTTCTTGTAGCAAATTAACCTGGGATTGCACATTTCCTACTAATTTTTTATCCTCGTATGAGCTTCGTTGGTAATTCTAGCGCTTTTGATATTAATGGTTATCTTGATATTTTGAATGACATGCATGTAGTGTGTAAATTATGGGTAATAGGCTACATTGTCAAAATTGTGACTGGTGTTGCCTGCCTGGAGTAGATTTAGTAGAGGGGCTGATGTTGCTTACTCAATGCAAAAATACATTCTGGGACGAAAACTTATATCACATCCTGGGCAGATAGTTTGACTGAGCTCCTGTGAATGGCTTAGTATTACGTTCAGGCTTAATCATGTGGACAGATCAAAGATGAACATTTCTGTCACTTTTAGTTCAGTTGGTTGGTGATTTGAATCTAAAGAGACAGCCAGAATCAAACTTAAACCTTCTTTGTGGTAGTGCCCCACATTATTCATTGCGCTGCTGGTCTTTCTTCCTGCATCGATTATGGTCTGGTTCTGGACCCGGATTTACCGTATGGGCTACTGGAAGCAAAGCTGCTCATAATTTAGCATTTTTGTTAATTTTTTTATGTAAAGATAAGCTTGGATTGGTATTTCTTTCAATAATTAATATTTTGAATGACTTGTAAGTAATGTGTAAATTATGGGCAAAACTGTGATTGTTGTTACCTGAATTTTATATTTATTGCCTGAGAGATGTTGGTTACTTCACTCTAGAGACATGTTCTGTAAGAAAGGCTTCTCTCACATTTTGGGCAGAGAGTGTCTCAGAACTATATGAATGACTCTTTGCTATATTTATGCTGAGTCATTTGAACAAATGGCAGTTTTTACGCTTTGACACTTGCACTTCAGTTGATTGATGATTCGCTTGTGATGAGTTAAAACTGACGAGCCAGCCAGGAGTCGAACCTAGAATCTTCTGATCCGTAGTCAGACGCTAAGTATCCATTAGCCACTGGCCTCCCATACTCATATTTTTGTGAGTTGTTTCTGGACCCTGATGTGCCACAAATGCAGCTCGGAGCAAACTTGGTCTTGGTTGTACATCTTATATTTTTATCCAAGTGTGAGCTTCAATTTGTAACTCCAGGTCCTTGAAATTAATGGTTCCCATGATGTTTTGATTTTATATTATTTGTAAACTATGCATAATACCTCGCCAAATTTTGACTGGTGTTACCTTGTATTGAGTACATTTATCTGCTAAGACGTTGATTCATTGGCGCCAAAAATAAATGCTGTGAAAGATCCTTGTCTCTACTTCTGGACGAAGCGTTTCTCAGAAATAAGTGAATGGCTCATTGTTCGCATTCATTCTAATTCATGTCGTCAGATGGGGGTATTTGGTTTTTTCCACTTTTAGTGCAATTGACTGTTGATTTGTCCAAGATTGGCTAAATATGACGAGACAGCCAGAATCAAACTCATAATCTTCTAATAGAAAGTCACATGCATTATTCATTCCTCTGCTGGCCTTTTTGCCTGTATTAGTTACAATCTGGCTACGGACCCTGATGTACCTCTTGTGCAACTTGTGGCAAATTACCCTGGGATTGCACATTTCCTACTCATTTTTATCCTCGTGTGAGCTTCGATTGGTAATTCTAGCGCTTTGATATTAATGGTTATCTTGATATTTTGAATGACATGCATGTAGTGTGTAAATTATGGGTAATAGGCTACATTGTCAAAATTGTGACTGGTGTTGCCTGCCTGGAGTAGATTTAGTAGTGGGCTGATGTTGCTTACTCAATGCAAAAAATACATTCTGGGACGAAAACTTATATCACATCCTGGGCAGATAGTTTGACTGAGCTCTGTGAATGGCTTTGTATTACGTTCAGGCTTAATCATGGGACAGATCCAAGATGAACATTTCTGTCACTTTTAGTTCAGTTGGTTGGTGATTTGAATCTAAAGAGACAGCCAGAATCAAACTTAAACCTTCTTTGAGGTAGTTGCCCACATTATTCATTGCGCTGCTGGTCTTTCTTCCTGCATCGATTATGGTCTGGTTCTGGACCGGATTTACCGTATGGGCAACTGGAAGCAAAAGCTGCTCATAATTTAGCATTTTTTGGTAATTTTTATGTAAAGATAAGCTTGATTGGTATTTCTTTCAATAGTTAACTATATTTGAATGACTTGTAAGTAATGTGTAAATTATGGGCAATATTGTGATTGTTGTTACCTGAATTTTATATTTATTGGCTGAGAGATGTTGGTTACTTCCTCAAGAGACATGTTCTGTAAGAAAGGCTTCTCTCACATTTTGGGCAGAGAGTGTCTCAGAACTATATGAATGACTCATTGCTATATTTATGCTGAGTCATTTGAACAAATGGCAGTTTTTACGCTTGACATTTGCACTTCAGTTGATTGATGATTCGCCAGATGAGTTAAAACTGACGAGCCAGCCAGGAGTCGAACCTAGAATCTTCTGATCCACCGTAGTCAGGCGCGTTTTCCATTAGCCACTGGCCCTCCCATACTCATATTTTTTGTGAGCTGTTTCTGGACCCTGATGTGCCACAAATGCAGCTCGGAGCAAACTTGGTCTTGGTTGTACATCTTATATTTTTATCCAAGTGTGAGCTTCAATTTGTAACTCCAGGTCCTTTTGAAATTATTGGTTCCCATGATGTTTTGATTTTATATTTTTGTAAACTATGGGTAATACCTCGCCAAATTTTGACTGGTGTTACCTTGTATTGAGTACATTTATCTGCTAAGACGTTGATTCATTGGCGCCAAAATAAATGCTGTGAAAAAATCTTGTCTCTACTTCTGGCGTTTTTCAGAAATAAGTGAATGGCTCATTCTTACATTCATTCTAATTCATGTCGTCAGATGGGGGTATTTGGTTTTTTCCACTTTTAGTGCAATTGACTGTTGATTTGTCCAAGATTGGCTAAATATGACGAGACAGCCAGAATCAAACTCATAATCTTCTAATAGAAAGTCACATGCATTGTTCATTATTCATCTGCTGCCTTTTTGTCTGTATCAGTTACAATCTGGCTACAGACCTGATGTACCTCTTGTGCAACTTGTAGCAAATTACCTTTGGATTGCACATTTCCTACTATTTTTATCCTCGTATGAGCTTCGATTTGGTAATTCTAGCGCTTTGATATTAATGTTATCTTGATATTTTGAATGACATGCATGTAGTGTGTAAATTATGGGTAATAGGCTACATTGTGTCAAAATTGTGACTGGTGTTGCCTGCCTGGAGTAGATTTAGTAGTGGGCTGATGTTGCTTACTCAATGCAAAAAAATACATTCTGGGACGAAAACTTATATCACATCCTGGGCAGATAGTTTGACTGAGCCCTGTGAATGGCTTAGTATTACGTTCAGGCTTAATCATGTGGACAGATCCAAGATGAACATTTCTGTCACTTTTAGTTCAGTTGGTTGGTGATTTGAATCTAAAGAGACAGCCAGAATCAAACTTAAACCTTCTTTGTGGTAGTTGCCCACATTATTCATTCTTTGCTGGTCTTTCTTCCTGCATCGATTATGGTCTGGTTCTGGACCCGGATTTACCGTATGGGCACTTGAAGCAAAGCTGCTCATAATTTAGCATTTTTTTGTTAATTTTTTATGTAAAGATAAGCTTGGATTGGTATTTCTTTCAATAGTTAACTTAATATTTTGAATGACTTTGTAAGTAATGTGTAAATTATGGGCAATATTGTGATTGTTGTTACCTGAATTTTATATCAGTTTATTGGCTGAGAGATGTTGGTTACTTCAATTTAAGAGACATGTTCTGTAAGAAAGGCTTCTCTCACATTTTGGGCAGAGAGTGTCTCAGAACTATATGAATGACTCATTGCTATATTTATGCTGAGTCATTTGAACAAATGGCAGTTTTTACGCTTTGACATTTGCACTTCAGTTGATTGGTGATTCGCTTTGTGATGAGTTAAAACTGACGAAGCCAGCCAGGAGTCGAACCTAGAATCTTCTGATCCGTGATCAGACGCGTTATCCATTGCGCCACTGGCCTCCCATACCAGCATATTTTGTGAGCTGTTTCTGGACCCTGATGTACCACAAATGCAGCTCGGAGCAAACTTGGTCTTGGTTGTACATCTTATATTTTTATCAGTGTTAGCTTCAATTTGTAACTCCAGGTCCTTGAAATTATTCCCATGATGGATTCCCATTATTTGTAATGTTTTGAATTTTATGTTACCTTGTATTAAATCTGCTAAAGGGTAATTCATTGGCGCCAAAAATAAATGCTGACTGGTGTATACCTTGTATTTCAGAAATAAGTGAGGGCATTTTCATTCATGCTAAGGGGGTATTGATTTTCCATTTTAGTGCAATTGAAAAATAAATTGTCCAAAAAAACTTGGTTCTACTTCTAATAGATAGTTTTATGCATTATTCATGGCTCTGCTGGCATTCATTCCTAATTCATGTCCTCTGGATTAATGGTATTTGATGTTTTTCCTTTTAGTGCAACTTGTGTTGAAATGTCCAAGATTGGCTACATTTCCTGCTAATTTTAAACTCATCCTTCTAATAGAAAGTCACATGCATTATTCTAAGCCTCTGATGGCCTTTTGTCTGTATCAGTTACTTGATATTTTGAATACCTCTTGTGCAGTTGTGCAAATTACCCTGGGATTGGCACATTGTCTAAAATTTTTATCTGGTGTTGCCTGCCTTTGGTAATTCTAGTGGGCTGATGTTGGTTATCTCAATATTTTGAATGACATTCTGTAGTGCCAGAATAAACTTATAATAGGCTACATTGTCAAATTGTTATGGTGATTCCCTGCTTGGCTTAGATTTGCCTGATGTTGCTTACTCATGTGGACAGAAAATAAGATGAACATTTCTGTCATGGGGCGAAAATTGGTGATGGGAATCTAACATTACAGCTTGGGCAGATAGTTTGACTTAATTTATGACAGACGGATCAAAGATGAGAATCTAAAACTTAAACCTTCTTTGAGGTAGTTGCCCACATTATTCATTGCGCTGCTGGTCTTTTTCTTCCTGCATCGCATTATGGTCTGGTTCTGGACCCGGATTTACCGTATGGGCAACTGGAAGCAAAAATGCTCATAATTTAGCATTTTTGGTAATTTTTTCCTGTAAAGATAAGCTTGGATTGGTATTTCTTTCAATAGTTAATATTTTGAATGACTTGTAAGTAATGTGTAAATTATGGGCAATACTGTGATTGTTGTTACCTGAATTTTATATTCATTGGCTGAAATGTTGGTTGCTTCACTCAAGAGCCTACATGTTCCGTAAGAAAGGCTTCTCTCACATTTGGGCAGAATGACTCATTGCTATAATTATGTGAACTAACAAATGAATTTTTCATTGCTTTCATTGATTTGATTGCTGAGATTTTTAAAAATGGCAGTTTTTGGCCAGACACTTGGAGTTCAGTTGATTGGTGATTCTTCTGATCCGTAGTCACGAGCCAGCCAGGAGTTATCCATTAGAATTTTCATCCGTGGCCCTCCCACCCCTCAGATTTTGAGCTGTTTCCTGAACCCTGATGTGCAAATGCAGCTCGAGCAAACTTGGTCTTGGTTGTACATCTTATATTTTTATCCAAGTGTGAGCTTCAATTTGTAACTCCAGGTCCTTGAAATTAATGGTTCCCATGATGTTTTGATTTTATATTTTTGTAAACTATGGGTAATACCGCCAAATTTTGACTGGTGTTACCTTGTATTGAGTACATTTATCTGCTAAGACGTTGATTCATTGGCGCCAAAAAATAAATGCAGTGCTGTTGGTCTCTACTTCTGTTATATTTTCTCAGAAATAAGTGAGGCTCATTCTTACATTGTTCTAATTCTTGTCGTCAGATGGGGGTCTTTTTCCCACTTTGATTTTATATTGGCTAAAATGGCAGGTTTTTCCGCCAAATGTCCAATTGACTGTTGATTTGTCCAAACTAAATATGACGAACAGCCAGAATCAAACTCATAATCTTCTAATAGAAAGTCACATGCATTATTCATTCCTCTGCTGGCCTTTTTGTCTGTTCGTATACAGTTACAATCTGGACCGGACCTGATGTACCTCTTGTGCAACTTGTAGCAAATTACCTTGGGATTGCACATTTCCTACTAATTTTTATCCTCGTATGAGCTTTCGATTGGTAATTCTAGCGCTTTTTATTAATGGTTATCTTGATATTTTGAATGACATGCATGTAGTGTGTAAATTATGGGTAATAGGCTACATTGTCAAAATTGTGACTGGTGTTGCCTGCCTGGAGTAGATTTAGTAGTGGGCTGATTTTGCTTACTCAATGCAAAAATACATTCTGGGATAAAACTTATATCACATCCTGGGCAGATAGTTTGACTGAGCTCTGTGAATGGCTTAGTATTAGTGTCAGGCTTAATCATGTGGACAGATCAAAGATGAACATTTCTGTCACTTTTAGTTCAGTTCACATGTTGGTGATTTGAATTGGTGATTTGAATCTAAAGAGAATCCAACTTAAACCTTCTTTTGGAGGTAGTTGCCCACATTATTCATTGCGCTGCTGGTCTTTTCTTCCTGCATCGATTATGGTCTGGTTCTGGACCGGATTTACCCGTTGGGCAACTGGAAGCAAAGCTGCTCATAATTTAGCATTTTTTGGTAATTTTTATGTAACGATAAGCTTGATTGGTATTTCTTTCAATAGTTAACTTTTTTTAATGACTTGTAAGTATGTGTAAATTATGGGCAATACTGTGATTGTTGTTACCTGAATTTTATATTCATTGGCTGAGAGATGTTGGTTGCTTCACTCAAGAGACATGTTCTGTAAGAAAGGCTTCTCTCACATTTTGGGCAGAGAGTGTCTCAGAACTATATGAATGACTCATTGCTACTGAGTCATTTGAACAAATGGCAGTTTTTACATTTGACATTTGCACTTCAGTTGATTGATGATTCGCTTGTGATGAGTTAAAGCATTTTAGGCATGGCAGTTTTCAAATGAACGTAGAATCTTCTGATCCGTGAGTTCAGAGCCAGCTTTATCCATCCAGAGTCAGACGCTTTTATCCATGGCCCTCCCCATACTCACATTTTGTGAGCTTTTTCTGGACCCTGATGTGCCAAAATGCAGCTCGGAGCAAACTTGGTCTTGGTTGTACATCTTATATTTTATCAAGTGTGAGCTTCAATTTGTAACTCCAGGTCCTTGAAATTAACGGTTCCCATGATGTTTTGATTTTATATTATTTGTAAACTATGGGTAATACCTCGCCACATTTTGACTGGTGTTACCTTGTATTGAGTACATTTATCTGCTAAGACGTTGATTCATTGGCTAGCAAAAATAAATGCTGTGAAAAATCCTTGTCTCTACTTCTGGACGGCGTTTCTCAGAAATAAGTGAATGGCTCATTCTTACATTCATTCTAATTCATGTCGCCAGATGGGGGTATTTGGTTTTTCCACTTTGGTACAAATTATGGGTAATAGGCTACATTGT